GTATATATCTATATATATATATATATATTATTATATTTTGCTTTGTTTCTGATGGAAGACGACGGAATGCCTCCGAAACCTCTTTCACTCCCGCCTTCTTCCACAGACCTCGTTTCCACACGCACATCCGGTGCGACGCTGACGTGACTGTCACACCTCCCCCGTTGGGGAATTGAGAAACGGAAGTTGCGGATTGCACCTTTGAAGAAGTAGAGCTGGCGTTGGCGGGCCAGAGCAAGGCGCGGCGTCGGGGGCGCGGGGCGCGCGGGGAAGCCCAGGAGCAGGCGGCCGCGGGTAGCCGTGGTCGGGGGCTGGTCCGGCGGCCCGAGTAGCGCCAGTAGCGCGCGCCTTTGAAGAGACAGCTTCCCTGAGCGCGCCGGCGGCCAGGCGGCGTCGAACGCCGTCCGGCCGGCAGCCCGGGCCACGTGCGCGGCCAGCGGCAGCCGGCGCCGGCGGCGACAGCGTCCGCCCGTCGTGGGCGGAACACCCCACGCGCCTGCGCACACGCGCAGCGCGGCCACTCCTTCATTTGATGACTGCGCCCGGACCAACCAAAGCTCATGCACTCACCAACACGTGCACGTTTTGATTTTCTGTAATGTGGCTGTGGAAGGCGAGATCTGGCGCCGTCGGCTTTGCCTTCCACCCGTGATTCCCCAACGGCGAGGAACCCTCCCAGCCCGGACAAGCTCAGAGCTCCCGCATTGCTCTCGCGCTCATGTGCGGTTCATTAAGTAAGGGTGGAGGGTAAGGGAAAGGAGGGGTAAAGGAAAGTTCGTGGGTCTATAGCCATCTCTTAGAGTACTGCTTGCGAACATTCGCCTCTGGTGTTTTGACGGAAAAAACACAGAAACTACTCATCAGAGCAGCGTCTCTAGAATTGTTTCTTTAGACAGTGCCTCAATTCGTTTTAATCTATGTAGCTAGTGTCGAAAATCCTGCAACGGCGGAGAATCGAACCTTAACCTCTCCCCGGTCAGAGGCAATTGCAGGGTGATAGATGATGCCCAAAAGCAGCCTTAACCCGTTTCTCAGGCGTGTACGCATTCAGCATTCACTGTTGCAAAGAACACGACACGCCTCGATGGAAACTGCGCTTTTTTACGTGGAAACCAATTACTATGTCTGTCTCCTTTTTCATATTAAGGTAATGAAGGCCGGCAAACAGGAAATAACGCCATTTGAAAGTTTGTAAACGAGCCGATATTCGATGTTTTAAACCCAGTTAATCAATATTGTGTTTTTAGACCGCGCGTGTTTCGCTAAGATACTATTTCAACCTTTTTAAAAAACCTTTCAATAAGTTCATCTCTTCTTGAATAGTAGTGCAAAGTTAGTCTTCCTTTCCGCCCCCACTTACATTTCTTCTTTCCTGAGCTCCGAACTGTTCGAATATTGATAGAATGCGCGCCACCTTCTAAATTGAGCACATGACAGTGAGTATTAGTGTCCAATTCTGTTTAAATTTAATAATTGTTAAACCGATTTATTACAGCAAATTTCATACTTGTATTTTTCTCTCTTTTTTTAAATAAAAGAAAGTAAACACGAGTTAAATCACGTATATGTTAATATAATGAAAACGTTACATTTGTCGATGCTCTAAGTGTAACGGAAATACAACGTTTTGGAAGGTACCTAACAACAAAATAATATTTTCGAAACATACTTTCTTTGAAGAAGTGATCGTTTCACCTCCGTATTTCAAATTTTTGCCCAAAGTGCAATGTTCTCCTGTTTGATATGTTTTCTCCTGTTTGAACACGAGTGTTTGATGAATTATACTTCAGGGTAAAAGAGACTAGCATCGGACACCTGCAGTACACAATTGTTACTTGAGCACACACGATCTTGCTCCATAACCACAAGCATGTAAGATTATTTCGTTATGGCGTTGGCATACGCCTAAGAAAAAGTAATAATGCTGTTATGATTTATTAATTTGTTATTTCCATGTTTGAAAACTATGTGCTTATTTATTCAACATAATTTTAAAGTTTAAATTGATTATTGTTGATTTTATTTTGTTTTTCGTAGTATAATTTTAAACCCGTAATATAATCATTTTCATCGTATATTTTAAATGTAACTGTTATGTAGATAACATTTATACTTATTTAGTTAGTTTATATAATTGCTCTATTTAAATTATCTATTTATAATATTATAAGAGGAGTCTTTTGTTATGTAATTCTAAGGCGTTGAAGGGTTGTATTGTATTGCGGGTGTGCTCTGAGTTGACAGTCGAACAGACAAGTGAATGCGGATCACGGTGAATACAGCGTTAATTTCAGCGTAGCAACCGCCTTAATATTTGGAATTTTCTATACATTTCAAATTTCTTTTTTAAATTAAAAACGATAACAGCTATAGTTGGGAGCATTGACTTGATTGCGAGGTCTGAGGAATGCTCTCGGTGTTCTTAGGAAGCTTGCTTCCCCGCTAATCTGCAACTACTCAGCTGCCCCAAATATATTCTTTCAGAGGTGCCAAAGGTAAAAACAATCATACGACAAAAGTAAAACAAATAAGCCAACAAAGTAGAGCTAACAAAATTAATAACAATATCTGAAAGATGAACATTATTAATAATGGGAAAACAGAGTAACTATGCTGACCTCTCACTTCATCAAGTGGATGATTGTCAAAATTCCGGGAAAATCTCGCTACTCCAGCATTGTCACAGATGTAAGATTGATTGTCAATCCCATGTTCACATCAGGTAAATTTTTGTGTCTGCGAATCATTTCTATAATTTTGAATTCCCTCTCCAAATACCTTGCTCTCCAGTTGAGGTGTGGTCAGGAGGGCCGTTCAATCAAAACTTGTCTTGGAACGTCAAGGTTTGCATGTGCGCACATGGCCAGGAAAAGTTAATTTTCTCTTGGATTGCCGTCAGCCAAGTTTTATGCAAGGTTGTACTTGTTTTCTAAACAGTATAAAAAATCGTATGACGCCAATCAACGTGGAAATCACCCTCTTATCAAGTCACAAAGTGGAATTTTTTTCTTCACAAAAATGCTTTTCCTTATCGGGAGTATCTGCAAGGCCCTGCCCTCGTCGGGCTTAAAGTCCTTCTTTTCTAAATGATGTCCAGTTCGAAGCTAGATAATCCATAAGTTTGCTTCCCAAAAATGCTGTATGCAGCGGGAGTTTGAAGAACGTCCGAATTCTTTTCCCTGCGTCACATTTATTAATGAAGCGAGACGTTTAATTTCCCTAGCTCGGCAGTGTATTGTTTTGGGCCTTTCCCCGAACAGAAGCCAATACCGTTCCAATGCCAAAAGTTTCATAAAAAATCCAACAAAATTAAAAATTAATACGTTATAACACTTATGTTACAAAACCAATAAGCACTCTCACGACAGAAAAGTACGTGGTATAGAACCGTGTACCGAGCCTGGATTGGGATTCCATAATGCAAGCATTCTGTTAAGAAAATGGGCCGATTGTCAGCAGTCGAATAGGTTTGCTTCGGTTTGTCATAGTAATGGTGACGTATCTCGAGAAAAGGCACAGACTCCCGCACCCCGGTCGCCCCTGCGCGCAAACAAGTCAGCTCCGACGATAGGGATCACTCGCCCCCCGCGACATTACGGGAGAAAACCTAATCATTAACCTGATCTAATGCTACAACGTATCGTAAGCGCTAGGTGAATGGCATAGAAATATATATATAGTTACCGTACTCACCCTAGACCATCCTTCAACGTGGAAATGCACTAACATTTGTAATTGAATTCAAAATACCCTCTGATATATACACACTGAAATGTTGAAACACAATAGATACTCTATCATCAGCAGCTGAATTGACATATTCCTTGAAATGCACATTGAAATAATATTTCATGAAAGTATCCTGATCAATGCAATTGAATCTAACATATTCACTGACGACACCGCAATGATTTTTCAAAAAAAAAATACTCTGATATCTGCACTAAGTCTAACATATTCTCGTATACATACTACAATAATTAAAAAGTATACATTAACATCTGCAATTGAATTCAAAATACCCTCTGAAATACACACACTGAAATATTTTAAACAATATTGCTTGCAATTGCATTTAAAATATCCTCTGAGATTCACCCAAATTCATATGAATTGTTCACTGAAAAAAAAAGCCTTCTGCATTTAACAATTATTGACATACAAATACATGCAACACCACAAGATTTGCACTTGTAGGATTGGCAAGCTTATTTCGCATTCATTAAACCCACCACTCTTCTCTGTCCTTGTTCGGGCGCCAAATATGTGACCGTTTTAACCTAGACCATCCTTCAGCGTGGTGTGTAAGAACGTATGTGTATCGATGATGACATATTGTTTCATCAAAAAGATGAAATTTATTAAATATGGTACAGGGAATCCGTTTCAGGGGGATGGATCTTGTTTGCTGCATGCACTTACTAAGCATTTAAAAGACAAAGAACAATAAAAATACATTTATTAATACAATTACATTGACTGAATACCTTATGGATGATCATAACTACTTATTAGGATTATCCTCTAATTTTTCCTTCCTTACCCCGTGATAGCATGTTACCTATTCTGCAGTTGGCAATCGGCCAATATTTACAAACATATATACTGTACTTCATTTCCGTTAGAATGCCACATAAATACTTGTTCCGCCCCTCTCCAACCCTCGTCCCGGGAACCTCGGCTTCGCCCGGTGGCGCCCGGCGCTGCTCGGCGCCGCCCAGAGAGACGCTGCCGCTGGGATGTCCGGCACCCGTGCAATCCTCGCGATGCCGGAGGCGATGTCCAATTTTCATTTCCCGCGCTTCGCGAAGTGACTACTCGTTTCCACAGTTAGAGACCAATGCCAAATAATTATATTGCCATCGCACTATTCATCGCCACTGCCTTTTTTCATTCACTCCCTGTCTTAAATACCACATTTCACACACGTCATCACTCCGAGGGTCTTGCTAATACACTGTATCTCTGGGAATAATTTTCATTAACTCACAAACTATTCGTCCAACGCATCGCTGATATATCATGGCGTTTCTATCACTTGCATATGCCTCGCCACACGCGTGTCTACGTGTGTTGCTCTTATTTTGTCCCACAAAGCTGCAACTTGTTCGATTACTGTTCATTTTCACCTTATTTGGTTTTACTTACGAGTTAGCGTTGCTTTTCACCACTTTAACCACTTTGATACTCGAGGCGGTTAGATTTTGATTTCCATCGTGTCTGCCACCATCATCGCAACGCCCACATGCCTCCATCCTCCCCTCTCTTGTGAACCGCCCTCCATCTGCCTCGACTCCCGTCCGCCCTCCCGTTCACTCGCCCTTGACTCGTTCGTGTGCTGATTCCTTCCAAGGAAACCTCATTACTTGTTTGAACTTTTGGATTGATCAGATGGGCGTTGCGTAAGTAGTAAGACGTGGTGCGCAGGGCCTCTGTACTGGCGCTACGCCGGGCCGCGGGGCGCTGGCGCTGGCGCGGGCGCGGGCGCGGGCGCCGGGAGGGGCTACCCGCGCGCTGTGAGCGCGTGGAGGGGCGTGCCGGCGCCGCCCGACGCCGCCCTTGCCTTCCGAGGACACACCTACTTCTTCAAGGGCGACTCCTACGTGCGCTTCAACGACTCGGCCTTCGCGGTGAGCAGCTGCCCCTCCGCACGCGCGCCTTCGCAAAATCACTGCTCTTCCTCTTTTTCTTATTCCACTTCATTGATCAGTGATGTCGGGCGCGACAACTGCTATGTTCAACAGTCCCGTAAGCGTAGTTCTCTTTTGGTAAGTATCGGTTATCCTGCTGGCTGGTGTGTTTTGGCACCGACCTACTGTCGGCTAGCGAGGTTTCCCCCAAGCAGGTATCTCCCACCAGCGGGGCACTGCCCCAAAAAGGACAAGCTCTAAGCACCCGCCTGGTCTCCCGGGATGTGCAGTAGTGTAGTGCGTATGCAGGCCCGTTTCTTAGGGTACTGTTAGGATACGGCATTCACCTGGTGTAGATCGGAGAAACTAAGGATAACTACCTATCAGAGCAGCTAGACGCTAGCTTTTCTATTAGACAACAGTTGAATTCGACATAGCTATGAAGCTAATACCGAAAATCCTGCGACCGTTGAGACTCGAACCCTAGGCATTCGCGGCCAGAGGCAGTGTTATCATTAATTGATGTTCTGAGCCACTTAGGCCGGTTTGTTTTCTGTAAATCGCGGAGAGAAAAGGCGCAGCTTTACTGCCAAGTAGGAAATTACCCCCTCCCCCAAGAAAACAAATCAAGATGATCTTAAAAGTATTCTGTCATTACCGAAGTTTTCTACCCAAACGTGCCTACGCTATTGACAAGCGGAAATGAAGGTGAGTGATTACACAAAGCTGCAAATAAGTATAGTCTCTGTGGACGTTCCGGATCTTCGGTGAGACATTTTGCGTATTGAATATAAACTCGCTGGGTCAGCCACTGTCAGTCCCAATGCATGTGGGGAGCGTTGTGTTGACCAGATTCCATATGAAGGGAGGGGAAAGGAAGGGAAGTGAAGTGAAAGGAAGGGGAATGAAGGCTGTGGGTGGAACGGATGGAAAGAGGAGGCTAGAGAAGAAAGTAAAAGGGTAGGGAAGGGAAAAAAAGGTGTGGAGTGAACAGAAGAGAAGACTAGGGTAAGTTAAGGCAAAGACGGTGCGCTGCTCTACGGAAGGAAGAAGAAATGGAAGATCTGCTGTGTTAGCTAAGAAGCAGCATTGCAGTCTCATGAAGAGGTCCTAAGATGCGAGATCCGATGGTGAGGATTATAGATAATAGACATAGTAGATAGTTCACAATCAACCGCTACCTGGAGGAGAACACAAGAGGCTGGTTGCTCTGAGAGGTAGTTTTTGGTGTTTTCTCCGGATAACATCAGATCAATCGGATAACATCAGATCAAGAGAGGACTGGGGCCACGGACCGTGCGCGATGTTTCCTTCCCTTTCCATGTCCTACAGCCTCCCCTAATTTACACATACACACACTACTTCTCTGTCATCCATTTTGGGAGATCATTCCAGAACTTTTCCTGATTGGACTGAAGCACCGCTGTAAACGATACCTGGAAAGGGGAATCCCGTAAGCTGGGGTGTACGGCGCGCGCTTATATTGTCTACCGGGAGAAACACCGCCTTCTCCCGAGATAAAAACATGCACTATACTATGGAAACGTATGTGCTTCGTAGCTCAGGCAGGAGGGAAGCGAGTGAGGTGTAGGGCTATGCCTAAGATGCGATGATAGGGTAAGCCTCTGCGCAGTCTATCCGGCTTCAGCGAATGAGCTCCAGTTTGTGTCACAATATTAGTGGGAATTTAAATGCAGTGAGATACGAAGATCGTCACATTGCTACAGGCAATTCAAACAGATATATGAAACATTTGTTGCAAATATTACTTCTTTTATTTCAAGTACACCTTCATTGTCTCATTTTTGGTTGGTCACCGTTGAAAATTGTCACTTTCAAGATGTTTCTCAACACTTGTCGCGGGCCATGCGTCATGGCCTCCAGCGTCTGGCCTGGCTTTCCAAACGCATTCCCCTGTTGTGTTGTGTGGGTCATGTGAATCGTAAAGTATCTGGCGCTGTGCAGTTTGTAAAGCAACGGTGCGCCTTTGTCCTTGCATTGTGGCCGCGCTGTTGCAGGTGGAGGAGGCGTGGCCGCCGTTCCCGCGACCCATCGCGCGCTGGTGGTTCAAGTGCCGCTCCGCCCACCCGCCCTCACCACCGCCCACGCCCAGCATGCAGCCTTCAGAGGACGCACTAAGCGGCCTTCTACACGCGCTGCAGCCTACCACAGAGGTTTAGGGTGCCTTCACACGATGCCACTCGGTGGCGCCTCCGAGGAGCGACAGAGCCCGTCACCCGACGCCGACCGCCACTAATCGCGAGAGAGGAAGGTTTCGTGAGACATCGCAAAACTGGGACAGTGGCGCGTCCTAGTGCGACTAGTCTAGTGTGAAGGCTGCTGGCGGTGGCGCGGACGCTAGTCTGCTCTGTTGGTGGCGGGAGTGCGTCTCCGAGCGTCACACGGTTGGCCTCTGAGAAACGCTGCTGATTGGCGCCGTGTGAAGGGCCCGTAGTGGTAACGGTCGCAATGGCCCTCAGGAGGAAACATGAACCACACCTGACTCCAAGCTCGTTCACATCCATTGGGACCGAACATAATTTAAATAATTAAATAAATATTCAATGAATGATATCTCTTAAATGATTTATATTATTTTAATAAACAATGTCTCATATTTAACTCAACGTACAAGAAGTACAGCTACTTCTTTCCTAGTAGGCAGTGTTACAGACATAGCGTATGAAGTGACAAAAAATTGATTGTAAAAATCCAACCGTTCTGCTCCAGCAATACAGTTGTTTCTGTGTCGATACACGTACTGATTACAAAAGAACAGAATCTGAGGGGGTACAGGATGGGGCAGCGACCGCTTTTCAGAAGTCACAGCGAATGAAAACCTGATCAAAACTCTCAGTGTGGTGCCATTTCAATGATACTCTGGCAATGACGGCCTCTTTTACACATATACGACGGACACACACTTATCTGTTCAAAAACGTCAAGTATACATTAGCGAGTTTTTGCTTGGCGAAGTGTTACTGCAATCGACAGTTACTATCAATATCGATCTTCTGCGCTTGCGCAGTTCGAATTTCGCACCCTTTTTATGCATCTGCGCATGCGCACCACATCGAGATTACTGTCCATTACCGTACGCTATGCTGTGCAAAAACTTCCTATTGTTTCTGAAGCGGAAGTGTGGTACCAAACTATTAGTTTAGTCTCAAGAAATATGCTTGACTAATTATTTATTTATTTTATTTATTTAATAGGTAATTATTATAGACAAATTAGCTTACTTGATCCTATGTGGCTAGGCCGAAGGCCTTAAGCCATTACCAATACCTACATCCTTTGCTGTTCTAATCTTTCGAATTACTGGTATTCACCCCAAATGGTCTCTCCATCGCATCAAAGCCGCGGAAAAGAAGACCATAAGGTTACGGCCCAGGAAAAAAACCCCTGAAAGGGGAAAACTGCCGTCAGAAAGGCGACTGCATTCTAATCTATCTGACGTTAATATTTTATTCTGGCGCAGGGCGGTCCCGCCGTCTCCTTCCAGTGCTTGGCCTCCTCAAGCACACTGAAATACAAACAGCGCCACAGAAGATTTGTCCGCCACCAACGCCTCTGCACCTTATATTTTCGATCCCCCTTACCATTCCCCACCCTAATGCTGACTTAGTTATTACTATGCCAGTTTTATTATTATTTATTATAATTAACCTTTTACTTACAATTACACTATGACTTATTCTTACACCTGTTTACAACTATAACATAAAAATTACTGACTTAACTTACATAATGTTAGCTATGACTTATTTATTTCTCTCCAGTCTAGGCTCGCTCAAGCAATACCGGTGGCTGTTTTCCCACTCCCTAAATTTCAGTTTCCTAATGGTCGAACTTATCCTAAAAAATGTTCCTAATATACTATCCATGAATTTTAGAACCTTTTATCAACCTAAAATGTTTGGGCGAAGCGTTACTGTTCCAATGTTTAAAAGTAGTCCAATTTCCCATTTCCCATCCATTTTTTCTCCATTGTTTTCGGGTGCACTGCAAATTACAGAGTATGTGGACCAGTCTTCACTAATCACCGCAAAGCACACAGATGCTACACTTGGATCCTATTAAGTCTACGTTGCATCCATCCCCCCAACCCTGAACCAAAGCGTATCCCCTCTTGCGGTCCTTCCGAGAGTATGAACGTAACCTTCGTAACCCCATAAGGACTCGCATGAAATTTCGAGCTAACTAGCAGAACTTAAATTTCAGCCGTGCTGCCCAGATCTCTTGCTTATAAATATCCGCCAAGTCTATTAGGAAATCAGCCGTTCTACTTCACGGGTTCCCCATATCTCTCCCACCATTTCCGGAGAGACGTCTCCCAACCCTGCGCGTCAAGTAGCCTTTGATTTTGTACGCCAAGATAAGCGATGGTCAGCTTCCTGCCATTGCACTCTAAAGCACCTATGTATGAGTGGTCAGCTGTTCATCTGGCTAATTTAATCCAAAGTATTTAATGGATTTCATATTGAAAATCTTCTCCAAATTCCTATACTTCGACCTCTCTATTAACTCCAGCATTTATGACGCATCTAGAAATACTCCTAGAAATTAATTTGAAATAATCTGTTTCGATACTTGCTAGTCGAATCTATCCTAATCACTCCCCAGATTTCTGCCCCATAGTTCATAGCTGGGAGAACTAACGATTTGAACATTGTGACTAATTATTTGCCTTGTTACGGAGACGTCTATTAATTATAACTACAAAAATCACGAGCACCTTTCCGTTGTTTTGCACAAGATTTGGAGCAATCGATTAAACGTTAAGTTCGTTTTTTGGTCAAGAGACTACTTGATTTTTCGGACAATTAAGGGACACTTTTAAAATTAAGCAAATACTAGATTCATCTTGGACATTTTCGATACATTTTAATATTTTAAACATTTGGGTCCCAAAGATACATCTGAGTAATAAAATTGAATCTTACAACCTTTGTATAATTTCAAACCATTTTGTTACTTTTTGAAATGTTTTTATTCCTCTAGTACCTGGCGGATGCGTGTTTGTAAACCCATTAAATTCGTTGTTGAAAATTTGTTTCACCATCGGAGGCAGAGGTGCCGAAATTGAAACTTCACTCCCCACCCTCTTCATTGCTTTTCAATTTCTGGACGATGTATTATTTCAGGACAAAAGAAGAAATTGAACACTTCCTAAGATAATTAACAAGTCGCTTTATCAAATGTTTGTTTAACTTGTTTGACAATAACATTTTATTCGTTAAATAAATTTAGTTTAATTTTAGTTGCACCTCTTTGACTTTTTTACATAAAGGGATCTTTCAACATTTGTCCTACCTTTCTCTGGACAAACGGTTGCAATGGTGGTTTCCCTTTTCTTCCATTGCACAGGGTGATGGTATGAAGATGATCGGAAAACGACCTCCGCAAGAACAGGCACAACACCTTCATCAGACTGGAAGCCGGATCCCACCAGAGCCTGGGCGCGCTCACTCCGCCAGCTCAGGCCTACTAATTGTCCTGATTAGCACTGGGAGGAAAATTCTTACTCACTTCCCATGAGTATCGAGCACTGCCACGACGAATCCAAGCAAGGGTTCAGACGAACAAAGATCCGAGCAGCTTGGGGCCCCCTTCCCTATCCTTGCTGCAATCACCTTTACGCTATTGATGCGAGTAACGCAGAGAACCGGACAAAAGTAGGGACTTCCAATCACCGTTTAGGGCATTAAATTGGGTTCGGGTTGCCGAATCTCCCATCTTCCCGACCCAGTTCTCTGCTCGGAGACACACCACCTGGGTTTGAACGTGATTTTAAATCCGTGTAGGCCATTGGTCGGCACCGAATTCATGGGCGAGGTCGTAGTTGCAAGCCTCTTCCGCATCCTTAGCCGCAGTTGCAGGACCGGGCTGGGGGGCGGCCGGAGCGGACCTCGTCCTCGGACGAGTGAACTATGTGCGGTTTCTCGCGAGAGGCAGCCGAGGCAGCCGAGTCATCACATTCGATTGTCTTCAGCCTGAATTCTAACAGTTCGGGCGTTTCGAGTCAACTTAGGCTAACTTAATCCTAAAGGCAGTTGGAGGCTGTACCCTCGATCGTGTGCTGCGTGGCCTCTGCCTCGTTATTTAAGATACGACCAAAACGAATCTAGTGTAATACCGTGAATCACCAACAAAGGTATTTTTTTTAAATCAGAAGCGATTGAAATATCTAAAAATAATCAAATATGTGCATCATTTTGATTCGTGGTCTTAAAGAAAAGAAAAAATTGTTTTGGTTGATTACCTTCATGTTGGAAATCTAAAAAACGCAACATATTAATTGAAAAAACGCTACACATTTACTGGCTTTTATTCGTGCATAAAATGTCTCTCCAGTATTTTTGAAGAACTAACGAAAGGAAAATTGGTCAATGATTTTCAGTTTAATTTTTGTAGCCTTTTTTGAAGAGCGGGTTAATATTAGATGTTTTGAAATTATCTGCAAATATTCCATCTGAGTTAATATTTATTTTTTAGTTACCAATTATTTTGAGAATGTCATAGGAATACGTTTTGGAAGCAAACATTGAGTCGAAAATTTTTGTGGATTTTTCTAATATCGAGTTTTGTGACTTAAGACCAATGGTGGCTCCTTCTTAGATTGCACGGTTACACAACCCCCAGATAATTGAATAAGATCTCATAATGTCTTAAGAATATACATTTTCCTTTTAATGACATTTATTAATGACATTTATTATTAATATTCAAGATATTACAGCAATATCGATGTATATGAAATCATTTTGAAACCAAAGATCTTCCGTTATCTCTTGTGCCGTGCCGGGTATTGCACCATGCTCTTGACTTTTGACTGTGTAACTGGGTTTATTGCATTTACTCTTTGGCCCTGCGCTTTAACACGGCAAACATATGTGTTTTTGGTTGGACAAACAGGTGGGAGGCGCTGCCTAGCACTGCGCGGCGCCGGAAGAAGTCTCAGGAGAATTCAAATATTCTGGCATCATTTGAGTCACTGAAACGTAATTTTATGAATTTCGCTTGATATTGAAACTACTGAAGTTCAGTCAATTATTGCCTGCATTGAATGGATTATGTATGATGTTTACAGATTTTGTTTTCACATGATATTAAATTTATTGATTAAAAATGTATCCTTGATGACTTCGTTGTGTTAACTTAGTCATTCTGGAAGGAA